ACTTGCTGGGAAAACTAATCTGAACAGCCTTTATCTTATTGTATACCTCAGTGTATCCCCACCGCCCCCAAGTTTTTTTAGCCTGTCTTCTGCCGTCATATACCATCGTTCGATCGCAGGCACAGACTCCAAACGTTACTCGAATGTTCATAATAAATGCTATAAACACGGACGGTAGTGGTCTACATTAATAGGATTGCTCGTTACGAGTGTGCGCTTAATCTGATAAGATGCTTGGTTTAAAATTTATTCTATATTTTATTTATTTTTTTCGTCTTCTTTTTAAGAGCCATGATTAGAAGACGCTAAGTAATGCTCAGTTTATCACATAATGTAGTTACATTCTTTTATGCTTGTAAAGGGATTTTTGCTCTGTAACTTGCTCCTTAAAATAGCGTTGAGCAAAATGTGTATCCGCGAATAACGAATCATGATTTCGTATTTATAAATACATATTCAAAGTATTCGTCAGTCGCATTGTTCAACGCCTTTGAAATCTTATTCTGGGAATATAAGTTACTACAATTATTGATTGTTATTGCACTTTCTCAAATTTGTACACCACTTATTCGCAATAGGCCGAACCGTGTTGGTGCAAAAGATCACACGAATGAGTGAAGATGCTATTACTGTCATATAGCATCTTTCTCTACGTAATATAACTTTTACGTCACAAAAAATCATGTTGTACAATCGGAAGAGCAGAAATAGTCCAGTTGCTGGTATATGCTGCATGAGAACGGTTGTTATCCAAGTTCGCTCGATTTGCACTGCTTCAGTGCATCCGCGCCGGGCACCGTTCTCGTTCCTCGTTGTACATAGTGTGTCCATTTGAAAATATATATAATACACATAGTCGGGGGGGGGGGGGAGAAAGAGGAGGATAGAGGCGAGGCTGGCTAATGTGAAGAGTAGTGGTTTATGACCCAATAATTGGTTGTGCTGGTAGTTGTATTCCGCCAGCGTTGGTATTATAAATGAGAAAGATAAAAAGAGAGAAAGGGAGAGAGAGAGAGAGAGAGAGAGAGAGAGAGAGAGAGAGAGAGAGAGAGAGAG